TCTCTTTGAAAGTAGCCTGTTTGGGGTATAAGATAAGAGGGCATAGAGGTCTTCAACCAATGCAACAAACTATAAAAAAATTATGTGTCCCTCTTCTCTCTAGAGTTGAAAATATTCCCCCAACTTGTTTCATTTGTTATTAGAAAAGTCAGAGACTAAAAACAGTTACATTGGCCCATTACCCTTGTTTCCAGGTGGATAGCTGTGAATCTTGATTGAGAGAGACATTTGTTTTGGGTTTGGATTTGCATACATGGCAAGTCAAGTAATTACTACTGCAAATATCAGGGCCTGGTGCAAAAGTATTTTTTTTTAACTTGGATATTGGTTATATAATTAAGGTATAGCATGTGATATTTAAAAATGATTTGCAAAGTAGCACAAGCAATAGATTTAATTTTATTCCCATTCCACAAAATTGCAGACTAGTAAAAATTGAAATGGATATTTGAAAGTCCTTCTAACAATACTAGAGTGTGTTAAGAGACTAAAGGTATGGCTTTCACAACTACATGAAGAGTGTTAAAACCTAACATACAAAGAATTAAAGGGAACTAAGCCTTGGATATATTATTGAAAGCCTGTAGGAGAAGATAGAGAGAAGATGGCAATAATTGAAATAGGTGCTCATAGAAAATTCTCTGTTCCCATTTTTTTTCTTTCCCTGATCTTATATTAGTGGGACATTTGTTGCATTTATAAACTCCAAAAGACTGATCATTTGTTGGACATGATATCACAATAGTATATCTGAATATTACTACTGTCTAAATTACCAGAAGAATGACTATATGAATCATTCTTAGTTCTCTGCTTTTTAAAGCACGATTAATGATGTCTATCACATTCCACCATCATTGCTAAACCCCTGCCCCCTCCCTTCCCCTCCCACCCCTCTGTGATATCTAGAGTTCTTCTATTCCTCCCATGATCCCTCTCCCTACCCCACTATGAGTCAGTCACCTTACATCAGAGAAAACTCCATTTGTTTTTTTGGGGAGATTGGGTAACTTCACTTAGCATTATCTTCTCCAACTGCATCCATTACCTGAAAATGCCATGATTTTATTCTCTTTCATTGCTGAGTAAAATTTCATTGTGTATATATGCCACAATTTTTTATCCATTCATCTACTGAAGGGCATTTAGTTTAGTTCCACAGTTTAGCTATTGTGAATTTTGCTGCTATAAAAATTGATGTGGCTGTGTCCCTGTAGTATGCTGTTTTTAAGTCCTTTGGGTACAGACTAAGGAGAGAGATAGCTGGGTCAAATGGTGGTTCCATTCCCAGTTTTCCAAGGAATCTCCATACTGCTTTCCATATTGGCTGCACAATTTGCAGTCCCACCAGCAATGTATGAATGTGCCTTTTTCCCCACATCCTTGCCAACACTTATTGTTGTTTGTCTTCATAATAGATGCCATTCTGACTGGAGTGAGATGGTATCTTGGAGACATGAATTGGTGTGAACATACTTTATATACAAACAGAGATATGAAAATTTGTGTTCTATTTGTGTAATAAGAATACTGATGCATTCCACTGTCATATATTTAAAAATAAAAGCAATTAAAAAGAATAAAATAAAGAAATATGGAAGTAAAAAAATAAATTATTCAAAGAAAAAAATAAATAATTTAATTTACCTGAAAAAAAAGAAGTTTGACACATGTTTCATGAGGATTAAAAAAAAAATAAATGTTTTGGTCTTTTTCCAAACTGCTGGATAATGCTAATCACTATACTTGTACCTACCCAACCCTACTTCACATAACTGAGAATAATAAAGGGCTAAATATTGACCTCAGTTGCTACCAATTTTATGGATCATTCTCTGGGTGAACATAACAGTCCTACTCCAAGAAGGATAATCTGGAAAAAATAAATAAATGAAAAGTGGAAAAAAGGAGAAGCAAGTGATGGGAGAAATGGAGCCTATGACAGCTTCTTGGCATACCCAAACAAACTATAAATGTGTATTTGGAGGTTACTAGTACATGTATGGTAGTCTCCTGAGGAACATTTGGGACCAATGACACATATTCAAATTCTACTCAAGGAATAAGCAGTAATGGTGACAACATGATTGGTGTATAAGCCAACAGTGACAAAAACATTCTACTATATTCTCCTGAGAGGTAAAAATAAACTTTTAGAATTTTTTTGGTCCGGAAATATCTTCCTACACCAGGACCATGTCATATTTTTAACAAAGTTTCACATGAGTACATACTTTGAAGTTGTATGAGTACACACACTGAAGTTGCATGAGTGTACACTCTGAAGTTGCAAGTGCTTTGTAAAATATCCAACTCTGGGCAAGTGTTCAGTGTTTTTTTTTTTTTTTAAAAAAAGTCCTCTCTTGGAATTTAGAAAATCAATCAACATATGGCCCACATTATCTTACAGTAACTTTTCAGTAGAATGACAAATGATGGATTTTATATGGCTCATGTGCCCATATGGTGGACTCCAGTCCTCATATTTGCTTCAGTATTGGAGGTGTCATTCATATCAGAGTTTACGTGTTTCAGAAGGTGTATTCCCTTGAACTACAATGTGAATGGTGATTGTTGGGTTGTTGCCATTTATGGTATTTCCACACAATTTAATATCCTGACCATAATTATAGAATATAAAATATATTATGATGTAATTATGCCAGGATTTGCCTTGAAATAATCTTGAAGATGAAAATTCATGAGCACAGACATGATAAAAGACGATTTTCCATGTATGATAATTATTTAAGCTGTATAACATGTACATGGGGTTTTGTTAAATTATTCTTGATCTTCTATTAAATATTTTTAAATCAACATTTCTAAAAACTGTTTTAAAGAAAAATATTAAGTTCATTATACTTAGAGAAAATTAATATACATATAACATACATGAAATAATATAGAGATACATAAATATGTTTGTATGAATATAATAAGAATTAAAAACGTGTTTGAGTAAATTCTTGTAATTGTGTTTAACATAGATAATATGACATTTATAAGGGTAATGTTGCCAGAAATAGAAATGTTCATATCATCTGGACTATTGTTGTTACTTCTTGGATTTATCCTATAAAACTCATACATTTAAAAAGTGCTTATACTACATCACTGATAAATCAAAATAAAAAACATGATGAATATATGACTAGTAATTAATAGCAGAAACACTAAAAGTGACATTTTGGGGAGATGGCTAAAATACAGCGCTTTTTCTTTCTTATTATTGATGCTTCTTAGAAATTTAAAGAACATGAATTTTAGTTAAAATTTAATATACTTAAAATCTGTTAGAGATTTTCCAATTTTCCAGAGAGTACAATTTGTTATCTAATCTATTGGTTTTCTGACCACTGGTTAACATGGGCACATTTTGTCTATACCAAAGCTAGATTACATCCACTCATACATATCTATTGGTATTATGCCAGATGATGATGAGTTCAATATGATGGAAGCATACACAGAAGATGCTGACTATCTTGGTATTGTGGATGAAATTAAGGTTAGGTGCTAAGGAGTTGGCTGAAACAATAGAAATAATATTTTATAGGCCAAAACCTTATTTAAAGAGATCAAACAGTAAAGGGAGATAGCCATGGATCAGATGTAAATGTAGGACTTATGGAGGGGATGGAGGAGAGGCACAGATGCTCAGCTCTAGGTGCTCTGCAGTAATATCCACTTACGTGCAGATAGTCACAGCACAGTAGTATTTGAACACTTAGGTAGAAGTTAGCCTACCTGAAAGAAGAGGATTGGCCAAAAAAGTGAAGATCTGAGTAGAAGAGGGAGGATAAAGTTGTAACTCTAATAAAGATGACGAAAAGGAAACTTGAGTAGGAAAATGAAGTCAAAACCCAGGTATCATAGAGACCATGGGAAATCGGGATGTTACAGCCCAACGTTAGCCTGTGCTCAAAATTGGACTTCTAACAAGTAACATACCAAAAAAGAAAATATCATTCTAGATTACTGAGGAGTTTCCCCTCATTGGAAAATAACAAGAATTGATTCCTTTCTCCAATCACTAACTGTTCATCCCTCATTGTGAGCTTGTGAGAACATCTTGAAATGCTTCTGTTTGTTTTCTGTGTAGAATACCTACCCTCCTCTCTCTTCTGACTAGCTTACTCTGCAAGTCTGCATCCTTGAGAACTCTTATGGCCTCCACTCATCAAGCCAGATGCCAGATTCCGTTCCTTTGTTAGCTCTCAAAATTTTAAGAGGCTTTTATCAGCCTCCTCACTGAAATGGGAACAGGAACAGTTTCTCTCCTGTCACTGGGACAATAGTGAAATGCTTCCCAAAATTCATTTCACACATCTTATTTCTTCTCCTGGCCTGATCAATCTCCTCTTTGTGAATAAGGATGGTGTGATTTCTATGAATGGTGTAAGTTTTGCAGGGAGATGTCTGACTCTAACCATTATTTACTAGAGTAAAGAGATGCTAAGTACTAATCTTTAGTGCTTAATATAGTTTTATTTTCAATTCTGAAATTTCAGGACAGAATGTTACTGGCACTATGGTAGTTGTTTTCTCTAACTTATTGAAATGTTAAATGACACTAACAACTGCATTTTCTTTCTTTCTTTCCTTATTCTTGGTAAGAAAACTATGACATAGAGAAAAATGAATAATTTATCCAATATCCTTTAGCTAGTTTGGGGAATTGGAGAATTTGTACTCTTGTATCCCTGTTTCCAAAGCTTATGTATGACTGTTCTCCACTGACCCACACAGTTCACTTTAAATACTCTCTTCATGCATCACCAAGAATGGGATTCAAATGGGATTCAGGGTGTTTGTAAGATTTGGATCATGACATGTTGGAAACGGAGTTTGTAGCAAATTGTATTTCTCAACCATTCTTGCTGAACAAGGCTAATGAAGACAGAGAATAAAATGTTTCTTCCTAGTTTCTACCAAAATTTTCTCATTGATTTACCTATGAGTCCATCTTGTGCTTCTTATAAAAAAAAAAAAAAAAAAAAAACCTTGGATTTCTGATGTTCTTATTGAATAGGTTTTTGGTTTAGCATATGTTTTACAGCAGCTTTAACATCCTTATTCCTCAAGCTATAGATGATAGGATTCAACATGGGGGTCACTACCCCATAAAATAAAGAAATGAGTTTGTCCGAAGTTTGCAATTTTTCTTCCCCAGTCAGGTCTTGGGACTTAGGTTTTGCATACATAAAGAAGATGGTGCCATAGAATATGACCACCACAGTCAGATGAGCTGAGCAGGTAGAAAAGGCCTTGTGTCTCCCTGTGGCTGAGTTCATTCTCAAGATGGTGTAGAGGATAAACATGTAGGAGAAGAAAATGACAAGCAGTGGGAGAACCAGGAAGGCCATATTTGATATTGACATGGTAATAATATTAAGAGATATATCAGCACAAGCCAGCTTGAGGACAGCTAAGATCTCACATGTAAAATGATTGATAATATTCTTCCCACAGAAAGGCAGTCGAATGGCAAGAGAGGTTTGCACAGCCGAATTGATTCCACCAAACAGCCATGATACAGAGGCCATCAGTGCACACACCCCCTTGCTCATGATGATGGGGTACCTCAGAGGGTTACAGATGGCCACATAGTGATCAAAAGCCATCATACCAAGAAGTAAACATTCTGTGGATCCCATTGCAAATCCAAAGAACATCTGTACTGCACATCCAGAGAAGGAAATATTCCTTTTCTTTGTTATTAAGCTCACCAATGTTGAGGGTACAGAAGAAGATGTGTAGCAGATATCCAGGAAGGAGAGGTTGCCCAGGAAGAAGTACATAGGAGTGTGAAGATGGGAATCAAAGATGCTTGCTGTGATTAGAACACCATTGCCACTGAGAATCACTAGGTACATAACTAGAATCAGAGCAAAGTAAATGAGTTCTGTCTTTGGGTATCCAGAAAGACCCAGAAGAAGAAATTCTGACACAAATGTCAGGTTAATTTTATCCTTTTCACTCATTTTCAGAATATCAAATATGGCCCAGCATAATATACATATATTTCCAAGAAACAAAATTACAATGTACATGAACTATCATTTTTTTTAGAATGTTAGAAGGAGTTCTTTCTTGAAGCTTGGACATTATTTTCAATAATATGTATTACTAAAAAACAAAGAAATAGTGAATAATGAAAAAACTATATCCCATTGACAATACATAGATATTTACCCATATACACATATAGAAGTATCTGTGAGAATTTTTTTTTAAATGACCAGTAGTGGGAGAACCGGAAAGGCCGTATTTGATTTTGACATGGTAATAATATTGTGGGATATATCAGCACAAGCCAGCTTGAGGACAGCTATCTCACATGTAAAATGATTGATAATGTTCTTCCCACAGAAAGATAGTCGCATGGCAAGAGAATACTTTTTTTATTCTCACAGATACTTCTATATGTGTATCATATCAATTATCTCACAGGTATTACTATATGTGTATCATATCAAAAAGGAGCTAACAAAGGAAGGAAATCTATATGTATGCCAGATACACATTGTTGTTAAAACGGCTTTCTGCATTGGTATTTCTACAGTCCCTGGCTAAGTACCACCTATAAGCCTGACTTCTTTATGTCATTTGAACTAGTGAAAGAGCAATAGAGAGGTTAAAATTCCAGGGCTGGAATTTTAGAAGTAGTCAAAACTTTGTAGCAGTTTTGATTTTTTTAAACATTTCTTTTATAACCAATACTTTTAAATTTGCTTCTTTTTATAGTGATCAATATCTTGTATTCATCAGTTTAATTGCATATTTTATCAACATATTATCATAATAAATTAAATAACATAAACTGAAGTATAACATCTGACTCAAAACATAGCTAGAGTTGATCCTATATTTCAGCTGACTCTTATTATCTTGTTTGATTGTTCTATGACAAGACCATTGGGTTGACCAGTTCCACATAAATGTGATAGAGAATCTTCAGAAAACATTACACAGTATCTTCACTTATTTCATTCTGCAGCTTCAGAGTTTGAAATTTTGCTTAAGCCAACCTAAAAATTGTAAGCATGTTTAAATATTTTATACAAATATGTGTGCATCTATACTATCATTAATATGCTTTACAAAGTATAATGTTCTTTATAGTATCCCTATTCTTTGGCAAATATAAAAGATTGGACTTGACCAAGATAGGAAATAATTGAGTTTGAAGTACAGTTTCATGGATTCACTAATTTTCAAAATGGGGAATATTCAGATCACATTTTAGTGCTCAGGGCAAATCCTGAGATCTGAATTTCTCATAAGTACCCCAGGTGATGTTTTTGCAATTGTATGCCAAAGCACTTGACTTGCAAGGTTTATAACTACACTGAGTTTGCAGTTTATCTCGATGTTCCTAATTCAAACCAATTTTGGTGGGGGACAAAAGAGTGCTTAATTATAAGAGATTAGAGTAACAACCTAGAAAAATTCAGGAACATAATTTTTTGTGTTTAAAGAAAACTCCACATTGACACATTTCTTTTTCAAATTTCTCTCTGCAACATTAAATGTTATATAAACATAGCGCTACATCAATCAGAAATTCAAGGATTTTTTTTTTATCAGACACAGAGACAGAGTGGATAGTGAAACAAGGCTTCCTCCTACACTTATCAGGCCTACCGAAAGTGTCATACCTTTTGAAAATCAAGTAATAAATTCCCCATGATCTCTTTTATTTTCAATAATAATTATATTTTAAGTCTTCGCAATGGATTGTTTATTTAGCTAATGATGAGTTGAGTTTTTCTTTTCTTTCTTTCATTTTTAAATACTCAAATGTAGAGAGCAGTGATGGGAATCGTGGTCTGACTGCCTTGTGGCTGCATTTGGGCTGGGAACTTCCAATGGGAAGGTGCAGGTCAAGATGGCCCAGTTGCTAGGGTGATGCCAGCCCTGAGGAAACTGGGCAAAGGCACAGAGTTGTATCAGTCGGGACCTTGGATCAGGCACCACCAGCTTCCAGGGATAGAGAATTCTGAACATAACAAGATAACCCTACGTCTTGGTAGTCAGTCCTGTGTCCTCCAGATTGCCTGCTTTGTTGAAACTTTCTCACAAATAATCTTTTAATGACAAAACCTATAAAATAAATGTGCTAAGCTAGCTCTGGGTCAGTTAAACTCCATCATGGTTTGCCTTCCCCCAGGCCCCAGCTTTTTTCTCTTGCTGTCTATTTGCCTATTCTTCATCCCCCATTCCCCTCTTCCAGGGTCTTTTCCCTAAATTAATGACACAGCTGAGAGCAGAGATGAGAGGACAGCAGCACTCAAAATTACTGAAAGACACATTTTTAAGGAAAATAAACTTGTTCCAAACTACTATAAAATGTTTAGGATATCATTAACAGCTTAGCTTGGAAGCTGTTCCAAGTATAGTAAAGATAAATAAATAAATAACATATTGTTATTATAAAGTTCACCATTCAATTAGGAATCTAGAAAAGGTACATATGGAAATATTTTATAACTATATTTATATATTATACTTTGGATTAAAATTATAGATTTTTCCCAGAAGTAGAAATTATCCTACAAGGAAGACTTCAGGAGTAGTTTAAGACTTAGGCTGGATCTAGAAGCATGGAAAGAATTAGGCAGGTTTCTAAGAAAAGAGGAGGATATAACCCAAAAGGGAGAAGTTGAGCCAAAATTAGGAGTAGGCAAATCGGTAGCATGTCTTCTATGCACAAGGTACTTGCTAAGGATGCTAAGGAGGAATGGTGGCAAGCCCTTCCAGTAAGGAAAATGAATCTAGTATGTCAAAAGTCTAAACCCAGGGAGAGACTGTGACACTTCTTTTGGAGGGGAAAGGGTTCATGTTTAGAAAGCAAAAAAGCAAGGGGCAAGTGTTAGCCCACAACTGACATTAGCAGCTCTCCAAGCTTGACATCATACAGTATGATATGAGGTGTTTTTAGCAGAAATGTAACAATATGAACTAAGATATTTGTATTAGTGGAGTTCACTAAAAGCTGACTAGATGTGAATATTACTTTCTCTGTAAATCATCATGGATTTGACTCTGATAAAAATTCCAAATTTAATTGCTGCAAGGAGTGATAGTTTTGAGAATTTCATCACAATTCACATTATATGATAGTATTTGGGAAAATTACTAGAACAAATATTGCTTAGAGTCAGAAATCCAACTGAATAGGAATAGTCTCTCTTCACAGAAAAATTTAGTTAAAAATAAATATAACATTTAAACTTTGAAGAGAAAGACAGGAAATATATATAAGTTTAGAGATGAAAAGGTGAGACCCAAAAAGGTTATCAATTTTTATTTTATTCAGCCTAATGGAGCATCCTATGTGCTATATTTTGTGTTTAAAGAGTTCACTGGGCCAAGGTCCCATGGATAATAATGGGCAGAGGCAAGATCCTAAGTCCATTCCTTTTACATTACTATCATGCCCAAATGGTATCTCTAAAGTCTAGAGAATTTATATGTCAACATCAGAAAGTGCTCGGAGAACCATAGAGAAACCAGGGTCACAATAATTAATTAATTGTACTCATTCAACAATGCCCAGAGAAAGGATCCAATGACACTCCACTGATTCTACAGGAATTCTTATGGTACATCAAAATTCTCAAGTGGGATTCAGAAATTAACCAGGGGGATACATTGGATAAGAAGCATGAGAATTTTGGTAAGTCCAGTCACAAATGCAAAAAGAAAACAACAAGGCACTGACAAAGTCACAGAGATATTCCAAAAGGTCACGAGATATTCTAACCGTAACCCTACCCCTAACCTGGTTAGGGGTTAGGGTTAAATTGGGGTTCAGGCTTGGGGAGCCTGTTGTCTTCCACTTCCAGACACACTTAACAGCAGTGCATCCTAAGCTAATGGAACTTACCTTGCCATGTGCTCTAAGCCTTCCTTTCCGGAGTTGGAATGTCTTGCCAATTCAAATCTACCTCAAACCAGGCCTGTCTTGTTGTCTTTGTTTTTCTTTTGCTCCTAGCACTTTAAATTGGCTACCATGTTTATTAGGAGATTACAAGAGAAATAGGGAATCACTGCCTTCCTTATTCATCCCTCTATACCCAACTCTTAACAGAGTGGCTACACACAGCAGATGGGTTTTGACTGAATACATCAATGTTTATTTTCTTGACATTTGAGCAATTTCCCTGTGTGGTACTTGTGGATTCTAATTCAGGGCAACTTAATAATGTCCGAATTGTTCACCTGCAAAAGGTTTTAATCATCTTTCCATCAGTACTAACAAGTTGCCTTACTATGTATGCAATCACCAGTTCATGGAGTGCAAGTACATGAGGCTCATTGGACTATCTATGATATGGATCTAGCAAAATGGAATAGTGCCTCAGACTAGAATCAGCCTTTGGTTTGAAGTTCTTTGTAATTGATGACCTCAATTTTCTCATTTGTATATCATTGAGAAAAACACCTACCTTAATTTTCTTGTAAGAATATGGCAAGGAAATGATAAGATAGTATATGGAGATTACTTTTAGAATTAACAGATATTATGCAAATAAAAATACAATAATAATTTGCAGCTGCATTTGGAGAAAATAAAATGGAGCCTGCCTGTATTGCTTCAGGTTATTTATAGTACAGATTCATATTAATAACATTTATTATAGATAGAGTTTGGTTGAGTTATGGTACAGATTCTAGTATGCAGGACTCACCCTGATCATGATAAATTATTTCCACCTCCTATAGGAACCAGGACTTTTTTCATAGTGTTTATGTCAGCAGTCTGAATTAAAGTCAAGTTCAATAAACCATGCTTGATACCACACAGGCAGGAGAGTAAATATTTATTATGCAACAGTGATTATAATTGTTCCCCAATTCCCCAAACAATTTGAAGTTGGAGTGAAGGATCTGTGCAATGGAGAAACTTCTGATGCGTTAGGGACAGTTTCCCACACACCCAATTAAATCTGGTGTTGTGAATGTGTTGGTTGAGACTGAACTAAAGCTCAAAAATAACATTCCTCTGCCCTTTACCTTTTGGAAACAGGGCAAATGTTCATCTAAGATAT